TTTAAAAATGCATTCTTTTCCCCAAAGAATGGGGCTCAAACAAGGGCTAAATTTAGTGACACCTACCTTTTTCAATTTGTCAAAATAATTACTTATCCAAACAAAAGGTAAAAACAGAAATTTACTTCAAAAGTCAAAGCAAGCTTCCCAGAGCTTATACGTAGATGATTCTTGCTGCTGCTTTGTTGTCTTATTTCGGCATTAAACATGCACTTACTGTCAAAATAAGCCAAGAAAAAGTTACTTATAAGCTTAGCCAAAACATGCATTTAAGTTTCTTGAGTTCAAACACAACGGCAATGCAAACAAATCCAAAGCAGTACTGCAAGTCCTCTGCTGATGTTAGTTTCCTATGCCTTGTGCTAAGGGGAATTCATGACCTGTACAATAACATTAAAGACCGGAGTAGTTGTGTGAACTCTACAGCATTGAATGTAATAAGAAAAGGCCGAAGGGCTTTACTTATAAGCTTAGCCAAAACATGCATTTAAGTTTCTTGAGTTCAAACACAACGGCAATGCAAACAAATCCAAAGCAGTACTGCAAGTCCTCTGCTGATGTTAGTTTCCTATGCCTTGTGCTAAGGGGAATTCATGACCTGTACAATAACATTAAAGACCGGAGTAGTTGTGTGAACTCTACAGCATTGAATGTAATAAGAAAAGGCCGAAGGGCTTTTATTGTTTACGGCATGTCCAGCAGGGAGATTGAATGCGTTATACTGTCTAATCATGTCTAATATTGTATCAAGCATAAACTAGAAGTTCAAGTCAATAATTTGGTTATAGAAGAAAATCATACAGCAAAGAGAAACTTGAAGGTAAGTGCGGATGATTTGCTGCATGAATAAAAGTTGGAAAAATCATTACGAGCTATGATAGATTTTGTCCGATATGAGATCTTCGAGTTCATCAACAACAGCATCATAGATGAAGAGATATTGCCCCTAAAACAGTTAGCAGTACAGTCAGCAAAACTCAGGAAAAGGGTTTCAACAAGACGTGTTAAAATGTCGATAATAATCTGTCTTTTTTCTTTACTATAAATCGCAAGGATGGTGAAGCATTAAATCGGGAAGGAAACATACCAACATCTGAACCATTCCAATACGTTGAGACCTAAAAGAGGTTATGCTATTAACAAGATCCAAAGCAGACATATCTCCAACAATAATTCTTTGGATGGTATTATGGATTGCACAATACGTTCCAGTTCTACCTATACCTGCACTGTTGCAGAAGATAAACTTCCAGAGTCATTTCGATCATTTTTTTTGTCACTCTAACTTGTGTGACAATAAAAGGCAAACCTGCAGTGAACAACAATTGGTCCAAGGCTGGGTGGCACACCATATAACCTTTTCAAAATTTCACGAACAGCAACAGTGTCCTTTGGAACTCCATGGTCAGGCCATTCTGGATACTGAATGTGAAGAACAGATAATGGTGGCTCCTCAGACTGCAGCAACGTGGGACGACTTTAATTTTGTAACAACTAATCACAAAGATTAAACAAACTGTTGATAGGAAAAAAAAGGTCTTCATATCACTAGTTGAACATGTCTAATAAATCAAGGTCTTGATACCAAAGTCCGCACAGATGCTTGATTTAGCATGAAAAGATAAAAAGAAAATAAATGAAGTGAACGAATATAAAAATGAAATATAATGTAGCAAGAATAAGTAGTTGAAGAAAACAGAAAATGAAAGGAAAGTCTTAAGTTCTCAGGAGTACATAACAATAATTTTGCCAAGCATGTACATGAGAAGACGTAGATGTCAATCAGAATTTTAGGATGAACAGAATTAGAAGTCCTTCAAATACATTCTTAATCGCTCTGAACGAGTATACATTTGGTTGATTGCGTAATGGCAAATAGGGTATTTAGCACTCAAAATAATGCAATGTAACGGTTCACAAAGGTCCCTTTAGAAACATTTAAGTTTGTAGACCATGTCACTTGCATGATAATTGCCTTACCTCTTTGTAATTGACCTCCAAACAGCGCAACACTAATGAAGTATCTGTCGTTTGTATCCACTTGGTTACTATGCATATGTTGCCAAACTCTCTTGGTCCATCCTCAGCTTGGAAATAATCTCCACACTTCACTGTCTGCATATTGTTTCATCACAAAGTATGAACGTAATTTTAAAAAAAAAAGGCACCTAGAAAATTAGCAGTAATACATTGATTACATGGGGGGAGGGGGGAGGAAAAAAAAGGTTTACTTTTACGGGAACACAGATATAGCTACCAAGAAAGCAATTGATCTCAGAAGGACTGCTTACTTCTGATTTTATGCCTGTGAATATCAAAATTGCTTACCTTGTAATTGTCAACCAACCGGGTAAGCATCACAATGATAGGACAACGATACTGGATTATCATTTCCCAGAAGTCCTCAAAAGTGTGTGGGAGTGGACCTTGAGTTGCAATAAACCGAGAAACACTTTCCGAAGTCTACAGTCAAAAGAATCGGTTTAGGACAGTAGAAAATTGATGATAAATAGAACCAAACTTTTCTGTACGAGCCTGTTTTAAATTGGAATGTTAAATTCAAATAAAGGATACAGAAACCCACAGCGATAAAGCTTGCATTTATATATCCCCTTGCTGATGGTCTGTAATCATTAAACTGCTTCAAAATAACCCTGTTATTATCATCTGAGAACAATGAAATCAAAAGATTTATTCCTGAAAGATGAACATACGACTTTAAAAGAAATATTTGATAAATATAAATATGTTGCAGGATTGGCATACATGGTATGACATCAGGGTAACGGTTCTTTTCATAATTTACACTGTCAAGAGCCACTCTGCATCTATTCCTCATTTCCGAAGCTGTCGTCCTATTTGCCTGTAATAAATAAGAATAAACAAATTTTCTGCATAGAAAAGAATGAAGTGAAGGACTTCTAATTTAGCAACATCATAATTAGTAGGTCACGTCAACTCATTTTCCATACAGGGGAGAAAAAAAAGAAAAAAAAGAAAAGAGCTCTATATTTGCAATATTAGAGAGAATACTGCTTGATTTTATCAACTGACAACATAAAAATGGTTAGATTCCATGCAACTTAAATTGCAAAGCCAAAATACCCCTTTCCGTTACAAGAAAGGGATTGTGGAGCAACAAGATAAAACTGCACAACTTGTAGTTGCCCAAGAGTTAAAATAGCGAGCCAAAAACTTAGGGGTACATGGACTTGTGCAGATATAAAACATATCGCATCTGCAGTCCCTAGATATCACACTCTTAGGTCATTATCGCCATTAATTCCCCATCATCCATAAACATGCTAAGTGCGTCTATGCAATAATACTATTCCCTCTTCTTACAGAGTAATTAGACTAACTCGGCCAATGTTCTTCATAGCCAATCCGAAGCCCGGCTGAAGGAGTAGGCTTGCAATTAGTTAATTGGCAATTTGAAACTTTGTCAAATCTGTCGTTCGACTACATCGTTCCATTGAATCTGGAAGCGGGCAATCGTCCCATCCAAAATTCAATTGGATTCACTAGATATGGACACACCTTGAATATCCATCAAGTCAAAAGAAAAGGCGGCAATTTACATAATCTACGAATAATAGAAAATAATTAAAGTTGAAGCTATATTGTTAGCCTTTATTGGAGTCGGCAAACCTATGCAATTAGGATCTAACATGGAAGCCTCAGAAAGCATTGCAACATAGAACCTAATTTAGAGGGGGTAGTATTGCATGTTTCACTTCTTAATGAAGAAACCTAACAACTCTACCAAAATGAATTGGACTAAAACACTGCTCCCGCTATAGTTTGTGCTTCGTTCTCTCCTGAAACAGTTGAATTAATTGTGGACTAACATAATATAATGACAATTGACATTTGGGCATGTGACATTTGGGTCATTTGGATGGACAACATTACACTATTTACCATACTTTAGGCCCTTGGGTCCATTCTTCTTTCTTACTCAAGCCTACCCATTGGGCTTGTGGACCACCAAAAGGATTTTAGATTTATATATACATATATATGCTCTCTTTGGTGGATGTATAGAGAGAACGAGATTGAAGAATTGGATTCAAAAGAACCCTAATCTCCGTCTCTCGATTCTAATCTCATTTGCAGGTTCTTAATTGATCTCCCATGGTTTCTGATCAAGTTCTACCAACACCTGGAGGTAATGGATTTTATCTGCTTCAAAACCATGGACAATATTCTTGACATTGATGAGATGCAATGAGCTGATTTAGATCTTCTAATATTGTTGTTTTGCTCATTTAATACTCATTAAATTCTTGTTTGGTAGGAATTTTGATAATTGATTTTTTGGCCATTAAAAATAAAATGGGTCCTACCTGTGAGAAGAATTCAAAAATGACGGCCAGAATAGTGAAATAACAGTCAAAAATTTGATTTTAATTGGCTTTTAAGCTCTACCAAACAAACTCTAAATGTTATTATATTCCAACAGAAACTATATTTTAAAAAATTTAATTTCTTGGTTTTCTTCCTCAGTCTATAAGGCCATGAGCAAATATTTCCCCAAAACTTCGAACCCTATAATTTTGTTAAATTTTTAAATAAAAACGAATATGCTCTTGATTGTGCAGCCATAAAACATGAAAAATTCAGAAAAGAATAAGAAAAAATATTATTCCCCAGTTTATGAGGCTATAAGCAAAATTTCATTAGAACTTCAAATCTCTTATAATTTGATTCGCTTATCAACTAAAAACGCCAAATCTTTCTCAATTGCTTGGCCATAAAACACAAGAGATCCGAAAACAGGGAAAGAAAAGGACAAAAAGTTATTACTCACCAACTTGAAAACTATTCAATTCTCATCATTTTCCTTTCAAAATACCATTGAAGTTCCGAAACTAAAACTCAGTTTCCTTCCATTTTATTTTATATATTTATTCTCTATCCTCTTTTGCTTTTCGCTCAACAAACCTACTACCGCAATAAAAATCTTAAATGACAATTGACAGATATGTACGTGTACGTTAATTCATATACCTGCAAGGTTAAGAACTCCTGGCGGATGGTTTGAGGAGAGTCAAACTTTTTGGCTTTGAAAAACTTGAGAGCTTCAGAGCAGTTCCGAAGCTGATCGGCAGTGAGGGTAAGTATCAGAGGCTGCGAATCGGCGGAGAAATCGAAAGAAGTGGCCACCGGAGAGGATGAAACAGCGGTGGAAATAGTTTTTCCGGGGGCAGCCATTGCCGATCTGCGGCCGCGTAACCGATTCGTGACGGGTAGCAGCCGAAATCGTGAATTCCTCTGTTTTATCTTTCACTTCTGTTTGTTATTTGTGTTCACTGACAATGATTTGGGTATCCTTATAAATCCAACAATTTTTTTTTTTTTTAAAAGAAGAAGGTGTTTTTAGTAATTATTCTGACAAATATGAAAGTACGGCATGTGTTTAGTAGCTCATGTTGGGAGACAATGGGGTACTTTTTTAAAATAGATTGGTCAAACAACCAAATTTTCATTTTGATCATTTTTTTTTGTATTCACCACATTGGCCTATTGCCATTACAAAGACAATTCTACCCTTATTCATGTTTAATAATTACAAAAGTATATCAATTGTTTAAAAGACAATAATACCCTTAATAGTTTAAATAAATTCTGTTACTTCCATACGTAAATTTCAAAATCAGTTTTGGTTTATCAGTTTCTCCAATACAGTAAAAAAGAATTTTTTCCTTACATCTGCTAAAATATTGAAATCTCCCAAAATTATCAAAGGTTCAAGAAAGAAACAATACTCACAGTCGGCATTGGAAATTGGTAAGTGTAAATACGTATTTTGAATTTTGTTTTAGTTAAGTTTACTGTTTGAATCTGTAAATAATTATTTTGAGAAAGGCAGATGAATTTTACAGTATTTAAACACAGATTTATAATTTTTTTATAGCAAAAACAACAAAAGAAATTCATCTCTGTATGCATATATTTTACAGGAAAAATTTATAGGTGTCTGTAAAATAAGTATTTAAACATTATTTCGTTGAAAAAGGGAAAAAATAAAAAATTAGAGCGTAAATTTCAGATGAAACGGACGAAAAAAGCTGGGCCAAATATTTCCAGCCGGCCCAGTTATCGGGGCCGGCAGGAAACAGCCGGCTGTTTCCAACCGGCCCAGATAACTGGGCCGGCTAGAAGCAACCGGCTGTTCCCAGCCCTTTTTTTCCCCCCTTCAGATTTTAGAATTTATTTGTTCAGTAATATATGTTTATTGAAATAAATATTAATAAATATTTAAATAGTAATTGAAATAAATATTTTTGAAACATTTAAAATAATCAATGAATTATTTAAAGTATTAAATTAAATTAAATATGAAATGAACAATTTAAAAAATTATATATTAATTCCTTATTTTTAATTTGTGGCAGATATGGCATCAGCATGTGTCCCAATTTGTTACTTTGGTGAATTTCAAAGGAATGAAAATGCTCAGTGGGAATGGAAATGGACGAGTGAAGGAGATGGGGTTAAAGCAATTTTTATAACAAGGAGTACATCGTTCGCAGAAATGTACAGTGATATACAAAACATGCTTAACGTCGATCCCTCTCAGTACGATATGGAATTGGGATTTTTGTTTCATAAGCATTCAACCATTTCAATTCCACCTATGAAAGTTACTTCTGAAGTGGAAATGAAACATCTAATTAAATTGAATCAAGGCCGGAAGTCGACTCCTATTTGCGTAACTTTATTGGGGAAGAATGTCCACGAGGGGGAACACGAAGTTTCAAATGAAGAGAATCGTAATGTAAATGATGTTTGGGATACAATTCAGATTGTTCGTGAAGATGATGTGGTTATTCCCGAGA